TGTACTCCTTGAATTCCTGCACATATTTTTCAGCTGCTTTGTGGTCCAAACTGGCAGCCTCACCATGCCTTATCACACTATGTATGCCACTACGCTTTTTAAATCTCTCAAACCAACCTTTGCTGGCCTTAAATTCACTCACATCATCACTAGTTGCAGGCATTTTTTTAATTAAATCCTGATGCAACTTCCTAGCCTTTTCACTTATGATCACTTGAGAGATGCTATCTCCTGCTATCTGTTTTTCATTTATCCACACCAATAAGAGTCTCTCAACATCTTCCATCACTTGCGATCTCTGTTTTGAAAACACAGTTGAACCTTTGGCAAGAACAGCTTCCTTGATTGCCTTTTTGTTGCCCACAATAGTAGCGATGGTTGACTGGGGTTTATTATACAACCTGGCCAGCTCGGAGACACGCAGTCCACTTTCATACTTATCAATGATCTCTTTCTTCATCTCTATAGTAATTCTCACCCTTATTCCTGTAGGGTTAGCACTAGAAGCTTTCTTGGGGCCCATGGTCACTTATTTTGCAGATAAAATCACCAAAAACACTGCGTTGAGTGGGTTTTTTAGCGGTATGCGAGGGAAAATCTTAGCGATAAAACGTATCGGTATGCGGATTTAACGTTAGGTAAGGCCAACGGTATGCGGGGGTCCACTGTACTCTAGAAGGAATAAAATATGTCATAATGTATGAGAGGAGTAAATGGTGTAAGTGTTATTGTTGGGTTTAAGGGCCGCCACTGAGAGAAGCCGTGTTGGTGGCGGTGGAGGGTTCTGCCACCAACACCATCACGCTTAAACAATGTATGTAATTTATAAATAAGAAATATTTACATTTTAATTTATAAATAAGAAATTTACATTTTAATTTATAAACAAGTTTATTCAGGCATACACAAATACAGTTACATAGATTATCATACATAGCAGCACATGTGTAAAGTACCTAGGATAACCCAAAAAAGTCAGTGTGACTTGCGTATTTCCATTGGGGTTCTTTTATATTTACATTTAATATACGTATTTACTTTTATGTTCAGCGGATTTACACACATCCAACAACTTTGGAGAGTTACTTTCGTGCCGTTTTTTTATCGCTTACTTGCTACTCTGTTAATTCTACACTTTATCGCTGGCTGGCGCTATAGCCTTTATTGATACCTGCTGCTTTAGTATCTTATATATCGTAGAATCGGTGAATCACTGCAGAAGGCACATTCTCCCCTCTCTCTTCTTTCTCCACTTTGGTACTTTGCTACGAGTTTTTTCTTGAATTTTATTGTGTTTCTTTCCTTCTTTATCACAGGGCTGGCACTAGAAACTTTCTTTGGGCCCATGGTGGCTTATTTAGTGGTTACAAGCACTAAAAACACTGGAATAATACAAAATATATCGCAGGTACACTTGGAATCGACTGAAACGGCTTGTAAACACTGGCACACTGGCTGTACATGGAGTGGCTGGGCCTGCTCAGGCCGGAGCATGGCCTGAGCAGCCAATAACCGAGGGTCCACTGTACACGTATTTAAATTTATACTACGTACTTTGCTTAAAAGTTACTGTACTGTACTATATTGAACAAATGTAAGTTAGAATGCTGGGTACTATGTCTTTTGGTATATACACTGTAGGTAGGAATGCTGCATATCATGCCATACTAGTGTGTATTCTGAAGCCATTGCCTAATTCGTTCAGAGCAAAGGAAAACAATATGAAGTTCGGTGAGGATAAATTTCGGTTACTCCGATATCCAAAACTCCAGGAAATTAAAGCTGAATTGGAGTATAAAACAAATTCCAATCACATAGTAGTGTGTGAAACTAATGTGAAGGACCTAGGAGTGATAATGTCAGAGGATCTCGCATACAAAGATCGCAACAATATATCTACCATAGCTGATGGGAAAATTATAGGATGGATAATGAGAACCTTCAGAACTAGAGATGTCAAACCCATGATGATTCTCTTCAAATTGCTTGTTCTCTCTAGGCTGGAATATTGCTGTACATTAATGGCCCATTTAAAGCCAGGCGAAATTGCAGACCTTGAGTATGTATAGAGAACATTCACTGCATGTATAGGTTCGGATTTAGGTTGGATAGGTGCATGAGTGGGAGGGGTTGGATTTGAGTGGGACTTGCACATCGGAGCTTGTTTCTTGGGTGGCATTGAAAATTGGGTTGGTCAAATGTTTGTTAGTGGGATGAATTGTAAAGGACCTGCCTAGTATGGGCCAACAGGCCTGCTGCAGTGTTCCTCCTTTCTTATGTTCTTATGTTCTTATGTATGATAAAGCACCTAAATTACGGGGAATGGTTGAAGTCCCTTGATTTGTACTCCCTGGAATGCAGGCAAAAAAGATTACATGATACTTGGAGGTTACCTGGAGGTTAATCCGGGGATCAACGCCCCCGCGGCCCGGTCCATGACCAGGCCTCCGGATAATATACACTAGGAAAATCCTAGAGGGACTAGTCCGAAATCTGCACACGAAAATCACTCCCTATGAAAGCAAAAGACTTTGCAGGCGATGCAACACCCCTCCAATGAAAAGCAGGGGTGCCACAAGTATGCTAAGAGAAAACATAGTAAGTGTCAGGGGCCCAAGACTGTTCAGCTGCCTCCCAGCATACATAAGGGGAAGATTACCAGTAAACCCCTGGCTGCCTTCAAGAAGGCGCTGGACAGGCACTTAAAATCAGTACAATGACCAGCCAGGCTGTGGTTCATGTGTCGGCTTGCATGCAGAAAGCAGTTACAGCCTAGTTGATCAGGCCCTGATCCACAGTGAGGCCTGGTCACAGACTGGGCCGTGGGTGGCTTTGACCCCAAAACCTCCTCCTGGTATATTCCAGGTATACACTGAATACCAACAGTGTGCAGGCTCCTCGGTTATTTGCAGCACGATACTAGACTGCTTTGTCAGCATGTAAGATAAGTTTGAGAGGCTATAAATGACAATCGTCAGTTGTATACTTCCATCATCACGTACACACACGCACGTGCATGCATGCACACACGAGGAAAACAGTCAATGACCAGGTAATTAGGCTAAGGAAGGAAGGAGGAGAGGTCACAAGACTGACCGAGAAGTATGTGAGGAACTCAACTTGAGATTCAAAGAAGTGTTCACAGAGGAGACAGAAGGGACTCCAGAAAGACGGAGAGGTGGGGTACACCACCAAGTGTTGGACACAATACATACAACCGAGGAAGAAGTGAAGAGGTTGCTGAGCGAGTTAGACACCTCAAAGGCGATGGGGCCAGATAACATCTCTCCATGGATCCAGACAAGAAGTACTAAACTATAGACCAGTGTCACTGACATGTATAGTATGCAAAGTCATGGAGAAGATTATCAGGAGAATAGTGCTGGAACACCTAGAAAGAAATGAGCTTAACAACAGCCAACATGGTTTCTGTTTTTTTTTTATCATCACACTGGCCGATTCCCACCAAGGCAGGGTGGCCCGAAAAAGAAAAACTTTCACCATCATTCACTCCATCACTGTCTTGCCAGAAGGGTGCTTTACACTACAGTTTTTAAACTGCAACATTAACACCCCTCCTTCAGAGTGCAGGTACTGTACTTCCCATCTCCAGGACTCAAGTCCGGCCTGCCGGTTTCCCTGAACCCCTTCATAAATGTTACTTTGCTCACACTCCAACAGCACATCAAGTATTAAAAACCATTTGTCTGGTTTCATTGATGGGAAATCCTGTGTCACAAACCTGGAGTTCTATGACAGGGTGACAGCAGTAAGACGAGAGAGAGGGGTGGGTAGATTTCATTTTCTTGGACTGTAAGAAGGCATTTGACACAGTTTCACACAAGAGATTAGTGCAAAAACTGGAGGACCAGGCAGGGATAACAGGGAAGGCACTACAATGGATCAGGGAATACTACCTGTCAGGAAGACAGCAGCGAGTCATGGTACGAGGCGAGGTGTCAAAGTGGGCGCCTGTGACGAGTGGGGTTCCATAGGGGTCAGTCCTAGGACCGTTGCTGTTTCTGGTATTTATGAATGACATGATGGAAGGAATAGACTCCAAAGTGTCCCTGTTTGCAGATGATGTGAAGTTGATGGGAAGAATTCAATTGGACGAGGACCAGGCAGAACTACAAAGGGATCTGGACAGGCTGCAGGCCTGGTCCAGCAATTGGCCCCTGGAGTTCAACCCCACCAAATGCAAAATCATGAAGATAAGGGAAGGGCAAAGAAGACCGCAGATGGAGTACAGTCTAGGGGCCAGAGACTACAAACCTCACTCAAGGAAAAAGATCTTGGGGTGAGTATAACACTAGGCACATCTGCTGAGGCGCACATCAACCAAATAACTGCTGCAGCATATGGGCACCTAGCAAACCGAAGAACAGCATTCCGCCATCTTAATAAGGAATCGTTCAGGACCCTGTACACTGTGTACGTTAGGCCCATATTGGAGTATGCGTCACCAGTTTGGAACCCACATCTAGCCAAGCATGTAAAAAACTAGAGAAAGTGTAAAGGTTTGCAAGACTAGTTTCAGAGCTAAGGGGTATGTCTATGAGGAGAGGTTAAGGGAAATTGACCTGTCGACACTGGAGGACAGGAGAGTATGGGGGACATGATAACGACATAAAATACTGAGAGGAATTGACAAGGTGGACAGAGACAGAATGTTCCAGAGATGAGACAGAGTTGGAAGTTGAAGACACAGAAGAAGTGGAATATCAAGTAAATAATGCAGCTTTATTAAATACACTCGCACAGTATTAACATTTGTACAGCACATTATATGAAGTAGATTTTTTCTTTTATCTATTTTTGTTTTATCTGGTGCACTAGCTTCCTGTCTGTGAAGTGGGATCTGCACATAGTATGGTAAAATTGGGATTAATCTATAGAACCTGACCACAAATCATCAAAACACGCAGATACTGTGCAAATACTGTACTCTACCCATAAAGACAATTATTTGATTATTTGCTTTACTCTCTTCTGTGCAGCTGTTTTGGGACAGTGACGATCAGCCTTCAAGAGTACGCAGACGGGCAGGTGTCAGTGTTTCATTCAAGGGGGCTACAAGTCCCAGATCAACAACCAGCAGGTCTCCAGGTAAGTATTATCAGATGTAAATAGACTAAATAACACTCGGACAATATAAAATAGTAAAATACACAGATAATATAATGCATAAATATTCATGGAATTGGAGAAAATGCACTTACCAGGATATGCATTATTTTTATAAGTGATGTTTCAGCATTGATGCCACCAGGTGATATGATCCTTATTAATTTACCACTTCCCTGCGAATATAATACAGTGGTCCTCCGCTTTTTGTAGTTCCCGGCAATCGTAAAATTGGCCAATCATAGAGGTATTTTCGTATAAACATGGACTCGCTTTTCATAGGTTGACTCGCGAGTCATAGTTCGTCCGGGACGCGTACCTACGGAGTGAGCCAGGGCGGCAGCCAGTCTGGCATTGTTTACCAGTGAGCGAAGGTCCCCTCACGTGCTCCAGTGAAATATTTCATAATATTCCATTTATTTTAATGCTTGCAAGTACTAAATAAGCTACCATGGCTCCAAAGAAAGCTCCTAGTGCCAAGCCTGTGGTAAAGAAGGTGAGAAATACGATTGAATTTTTAAAAAAACCATCATTGAACAATATGAAAGTGTACAAGTGTGGCCGAACTGTCCAGGATGTATAAAAACCCTACACAACCTTATGTTTTCCCTAGTGGCCAAGAAATGAAATAAAGGATGCTGTTGTTGCAAAGGGAGTAACTATGCTGACAAAAATGAGATCACCATACTGGAAGAGGTTGAGAATTATTTTGGGATGGATAAATGAGAAACAATTAAACAGGAATACTCTTATGAAATTCGTTTATTGTGAAAAGGCTAGGCAGTTGCATGATTTGGTAAAGAAATTGCCTGCAAATAGTGGTGAAGTGAGTGAATTTTAAGGCCAGCAAAGGCTGGTTTGAGAGATTTAAGAACCGTACTGGCATACACAGTGTGTAAGGCATGGTGAGGCTGCCAGTTCGGACCACAAGGCGGCTGAAAAATATGTGCATGAAATTCCAGGAGTACATAGAGGCTGAAGGACTAAAACCTGAACAAGTGTTCAATTGTTACGAAAACGGGCCTCTTTGGAAAAAATGCCAAAGGGGACCTTCATTACACAAGAGGAAAAGGCAATGCCAGGACACAAGCCTATGAAAGACAGGCTGATGCTAATTTTTCTGGCTAATGCATGGGGATTTCAAAGTGAAGCCATTACAAGTGTACCATTCTGAAAATCCCAGAGGTTCAGGAAAAACAATGTTAAGAGTAAATTGTGTGTGTTTTTGGAAATCTAATAGTAAGCATGGGTCACGAGGGAAATTTTCGTTGAGTGGTTCAATGAAGTTTTGGCCCTAGTGTGAAGGAGTATCTCCCTGGAAAAGAAATTTGGGTCTCAAGTGCCTGCTAGTAATGGACAATGCACCTCTCATCCTCCAAACTTGGATGACCTAATTTTCGAGGAGTTTGGGGTTTATCACAGTAAAGTTCTTGCCCCCCGAATACCACTCCTCTCCTCCAGCCCATGGACCAGCAGGTCATTGCAAAATTTAAAAAAAACTACACAAAAGCATTTTTTCACAGGGGCTTGACTGTGACCACAGACACTCACTTGACCCTAAGGGAATTTTGGAGAGAACACTTCAGCATCCTCCACTGCATAACCCTTATAGTATGGCTTGGGAGGGAGTGACACCAGGACTTTGAACTCTGCTGGAGAAAATTGTGGCCAGATTGTGTCAACAAGAGGGATTTTGAAGAATTTGGACTGACCCTAATGAGCCTATGTCTGTTGTAAAATCAATTGTGGCACTGGGGAGTTCCATGGGTTGGATGTGAGTTTGGAGGATGTGGCAGAATTGGTGGAAGACCACAATGAAGAGCTCACCACTGAGGATGCTGCAAGAACTTCAGCAGAAGAGCAACACATAGCAGCTCAGAATCTGCTGCAGTGGAGGAGGAAGAGAGATGGAAGAAGGTGCCTTCTTCAGAAATTAAAGAGATTTTTACTATGTGGGGTAAGATGGAAAGTTTTATGGAGAAACATCACCCTAACAAGGTTGTTGCAAGCCAGGTTGGCACATTACAGTGACAAAAGTCTTGGGCCATTTTAGGGAAGTGTTAAAGAGACGCCAGAAACAGAGCTCTCTCCACAGTTATTTTGTGAGACAGGACTCCAGTGACTCTCAGTGGTCCTAGTGGCATTAAGAAACAGAGAAAGAAGCAACCCCAGAAAAGCAAATGGTACCTGAGGTGTTGATGGAAGGGGATTCCCCTTCCAAACTATAAACAATCCACTCTCTCTCCTCCTCCAGTCTCCCATACACTAAGAAGAATCTCCAATAAAGGTAAGTGTTATGCTGTTAATGTTTCATTCATCATTTCCCATTGTATTGTTATGTACTACATGCATATTTCATGTTAAAAAATTTTTTGTTTTAATACTTCTGGGTGTCAGGAACGGATTAATTGTATTTACATTATTTCTTATGGGGAAAATTGATTCGTAAATCGTAAATTTCGTTTATAGTAACGGCTCCAGGAACGGATTAATTATGAACAACGAGGGACCACTGTATTAATCAGGTAGGCAACAAGGAAGCCTGGTCTTAGGCTGGTCAGCAAGGGTAGAAGAAACCTTGAGACTGGTCACAGGTGTTCCTTGCCTACATGTTTTTTTAGGTACATTAGAAATATTTCCATTTTAATATAAATCAGTGGCCTGAGCAGTCTTTAGTAAATGTGTACATTACTGTAATTGTAGTTATTTGTATTGAGTAAAAAATTCAGTTTGTAACACTTGATACTTCATCTTGTATCCCATTATGCTGCTGTTTTACCACTGAAGAGAAACTTTATAGTGCAGTATTCTATTTACAACTGTGTTTTCTAGTTCTCCCTATTGATGGTGTTAGGATGGTGGTGATGTTTTTATTTGTTGGGAGAACTGCAATAATGTTTTCTAGCACAGGTCTTAGGCATGAGATGATCCTCTTGGGAGATTTTTTGTAATTTGACTTAGGCCTTCTGCTGGCTTATGAGTCCATTCCCTCAAAATATTAAACATCACAGCTTGAGATGTAATTGTTGGTTTTCTACCCCATATACAAAGGTACACCGCACAGTAGTGTCCTTCGATGGTGTTAGGAAATCTTTATCTTTTCTCTAGTACAGGTATTCTTTTATGATCTTATGTGGTCATGGTATTAAGATTTCCTCTTTTGCCGATGACACCAAAATAGGCCGTCGAATTCATTCTGACGAGGACGTTAGAGCACTCCAGGAAGATTTGAATAGACTGATGCAGTGGTCGGAGAGGTGGCAGATGCAGTTTAATATAGACAAATGCAAAGTTCTAAATGTTGGACAGGACAATAACCATGCCACATATAAACTAAATAATGTAGATCTTAATATTACGGATTGCGAAAAAGATTTAGGAGTTCTGGTTAGCAGTAATCTGAAACCAAGACAACAGTGCATAAGTGTTCGCAATAAAGCTAATAGAACCCTTTGGGCTTCATATCAAGAAGCATAAATAATAGGAATCCTCAGGTTTTTTCTTCAACTCTATACATCCTGGTAGGCCTCATTTAGTTTAAATGCTGGCACAGTTTGGTCACCGTATTACAAAAAATGGATATTAAATGCCTCGGGAAAATGACAAAAGGTTTGACAAAGTTGATCCCATGTATCAAAACCCTTTCCCAATGAGGATAGACAAAGGGGCCCTGATCTGCACTCTCTAGAAAGATTAAGAATTAGGGGATATATTGGGGTGTATAAATGAAAGACAGGAATAAAATAAAGGGTGTAATAGTGTGCTGAAAATATCTAGCCTATGCAGGACTCGCAGCAATGGTTTTAAGTTGAAATTCAGATTCAGAAGGATATAGGAAAGTACTGTTTGGTAATAGAGTTGTGGATGAGTGGAACAAACTCCCAAGTACAGTTATAGAGGCCAGAACGTTGTGTAGCTTTAAAAATAGGTTGGATAAATACATGAGTGGATGTGGGTGGGTGTGAGTTGGACCTGATAGCTTGTGCTACCAGGTCGGTTGCCGTGTTCCTCCCTTAAGTCAAGGTGACCTGACCTGACTAGTTTGGGTGCATTGGCTTAAGCTGGTAGGAGACTTGGACTTGCCTCGCATGGGCCAGTAGGCCTGCTGCAGTGTTCCTTCGTTCTTATGTTCTTATTTTAAGCTTTTTTATTTTCTTATAATTGTTAGCTTAGAAAGTCACTTTGTAGGATGTCCTTGGATGACCTCCAGAAATATCCTTCAGGTATCCTCCAAGTCCTGCTGCAAATTCCAATTACAGTTAAACATTTATTGGGAACCTCAGTTTTAGCATTGCTCCATCCATGTATGGTGTCTTCAGTTTGTTTCCAAGCTTGCCAGGGCAATGTGCAAGTTTCTCACAAGTATATTAACCCTTTGACTGTTTTGGTCGTATATATATGTCTTACAAGCCACCGGCTCGTAATCAAGAAGGAGAAAGCTGGTAGGCCCACACGTGAGAAAATGGGTCTGTGTGGTCAATGCGCACCGTATAAAAAATATCCTGCAGCACGCTGTGCATAATGAGAAAAAAAAACTACGACCGTTTTCGTATAGTATTTATGGTTGTATTCTCGTTTTCTTGGTCTCATTTGATAGAATGGAAAACATGTAGAAATAGAGGTGATTTTGATTGGTTTTACTATGAAAAGAACCTTGAAATGGAGCTCAAAGTAGGGGAAATGTTTGATTTTTGCCGATGTTCAAAATTAAACAAATGATGTCATTTTCCAATAAATGTCCAAGTAGCCATTCTAATATGCACTCATGAATGGGTTGACATTATTTATACAATTATTACAATATTGCAGTAGTCTGCATAACAGTAAATCTTCTATTTTTTGTTTGAATAAAAATTCAAAATAGAAAGCATGAGTAATATCAGAGGGGCCTGGAGATGTGACTGATGAACAAAGAAAATGTTATTTTAGAGCCAGGAATGTCTGCACTGTTCATTGTGGACCCTATTTTGAAATTGTCGTGT